GATCCCCTATAACGCTCTCGGCATCTCTCAGAGTTACGAGGTCCGAACGCACAGGCAAAGCCTTACGTCGGGATCTTTCGGGGACCCTGTGTAAGTGACTCTTTCGCTTCTCCTTTAACGTTCCGATCAATTTTCGATTTGCGCTATACAGCGAATTTTTACGAATATTTCCTTGCAATTCGAGATGAATCATAACCTGCTCTCCCGGTGCTCCATTTTCCGGCGACCTGCGTGTCAGATGCCAGCCGGTGTGTCGTCATAGCAAAAGGATGCGTTACCAAACGTCTGGATCCCGAGATGAATTTCTCCTTCACTAGCAGGGCGACAAATATCCACCCGTCGCTTATTGACAACATGCGGCACTCGGCGCTAGTCGAGCCGCATTTGGTTCTTCCAAAAAGAATAGTAGTTTCAATTGGCTTCTTTCGCCTACTATGTGCTCGTCAAGGTGTCAACACATAGCCAATGCTACTCCAGTAGCTATGAGTATAGCCTAAAACAGCCAGTTATCGGTCCGTATAATGCCTCTTTGTTGCGCAGTGAACTCGGTCTATGGAGCGCATGCAGCGCATGAGAGCCAATTGGTTGGTCTTGTTTGCTAGCCTGGTTATTGCTTACGGACAGTCCGACTAGTGTTGGTTTCTCAAACAAATCGCGGCGTCCTTCCTCTTTCCAAATCCATCGGAGATGCATAATTCTTGTGGACGCGAGGAGATGACTTTTTCTTCTGGCTGAAAACTATCGACTAGGCGCTTGTTTGGCGCGGGTTGTAAACGCCTCCCGCATATTAAACTCGAAAAAAATCAGGCCACTCTTTGCTTTTTACAGCTGCATTAGTAGTGTTAAGGTGAAGGCTAGATAGGGTGTTAGTACGCTTCCGGTTGCATGGAACTGGATAGGGCTGTTAATAGATGAAAAGATGGAGTAGCTTTGCATTTTCTTCAACCTTTCATCTTTCTTGTCACCAGTAGAAAAATTAATCAATTGGATGGGGCAGAGTTGAGTCAAAGTCTTCATGCAGTTTTTATTTTTCTTGGCGTCTTTCTGTGCCTAGATCTTTACAAGTGGAGTTAATTTTTCCTTCCTCTTTGCGGCAACCTATGCGGCCGAAAGCGGCACACAAGATAGTATCGGTGCCCAGTTTTACATCCTATACCAAGTTAGTACTCTTTAAACTGACGAGGAAATAACGGGGATTTATTTCTCCCTGAAATAAGCATCAATGTAAGTAAAGAAAAATTCTGGTACATACCTCTCAAGCGGCGTCAAGCCAAGCAGCTTCATGCCGTTAGACAGCACAATTCGCGCAGCGTCGTAGAGGGCCATTCGAGCCTTCATTAATTCTTTCTCACTGCCAACCACCTGCAAGTGATCGTAGCTGCTGCTCACGGCGTGGCTCATCTTGAACAGGTAAGTGAGCACGGTGGTGGGCTCAAGAGTCTTCAGAGTGTTCTGAACGGTGTCAGGCCACTGTGAGAGCATTCGCACAACGTTGGTGGCATGCTGCTCGGTGAGCAGTGAAAGGTCTGCGCTCAGCAGGTCTTCTTCTGTCAAGTTCGCCCGACGCTTGATGGAACACAGTCGAGAGTGAGCATACTGCAGGTAGGGACCTGTGTCACCCTCAAACGATGTCATGGCTTCCATGTTGAATGTGTAGTTGTTGATCCTGTAATCACTGATGAGCCCAGTTGAAACCACGAAGCGCCGTCGAAGATGGCAACTCACCTCTTTCCACTCATGTCCTGAACCATGACACTGCTGATACCGAGGATATCTGCGGTTGCAGTTGGGTTCTCGACCTGGGCGTACTTGTCCTCGTTCTTCTTCATGGTCTCATGCATGTGATCTGCGCAATCCCTCAAGATGTCATCCAAGCTATTGCGACCTGTGTCAGCCAACTGCAAATTACCAACGAATACGATAGATGAGGGTGAATTAGATGTTGACAAGAAGTACTCACAACTTAACAGTACCCTTCCTGGTGCTCATACCCAGAACCAGGCCGAAGTTAATGTGCTGGCAGCGGTTCGCAATATCCTTGTAGCCAAGCTGTCCAATAATCTCGAAAAGCTGCTTGAGATGGAGATCTTGGGCACTTGCCACAACGTAAATCATGTGATCAAACTTGTATTTTTCATACTATTAAAAGTTAGTGATCTTTTCATGCCTGGGATACCATTGCCCATTTGACTTTGGTAAATACCGTGTTCACTTACACGAGAGAGGAGTTCACAGATATCACGGGTGAGGTACAAGGCAGTACCATCCCTCTTTCTGTTAATCCAGAAAAATTAGATATCTCATAAGTATGGACCAATTTTGTTGGACGTAGAACATACCGAATAACAGTGACACCAAGTCGCTTTCCTTCTTTGCCGGGGAGAAGCTTGGTAAAGTCAACAAGCGTGGCACCGTTGTCGACTCGGGAAATGTTCTTCTCTTCCATTTCAACAGCAATCTTTGCCATTGCCTCTTCGGAAACCTGACTCTCACCGCTGTAGCTGTCAAAGGCGATGTTGAGTCGGGAATAAGTCTCTATGATATGCATTAGTTTTACTAGACTATGAATGCGGGTGAGACATCGGCAGGCGGTAGTATCTTACCCTTATACCGCTTGATACTCAAGTCTCGGAAGATTTGCCATTGCTTGAGCACATCTTCATCCCTGTCGGTCTAGATCAAAGAATTCTTTAGTAATCTAACGATATTAGCCAGAAGAACAACCGTCACTTACCATACGCTTGAAATACCTGCGAGCTTGCTCATCAAGGCTGTTGGCTTCAAGCTCAGTAACGTCTTTGCCCTCCTTCTTTTGCGCCTCAATAAACTCCTTCTCTGCAGTCATCTCAGAGTTGATTTGCACATAGAGCTTGAAGAGGTGATCGATAGGATCTTTCTGCAGTGCTTCCTCGTTACCGTATTTCTCATACGCCAAGGCGAGAAGTCCATATTGCTTGCCCCAGTCTCCCAAGTCTATAAGCGGTCATCAGTATAAACTGTTCTTCAGTGATAAAACGTCCATCCACTAGTAGTAGAAGACATGATTTATGCTATGGATTGGCGGAGAGTAGAAATGGACCAGTCCACGAGAAATTTCACGTGCATAATAAATGAATCACTTACAGTTAATTCGCACCACTTCCCAGCCACTGCCTTCGTAAAGGTTTGCCAAGAAGCTGCCAATAATAGTTGATCGAAGATGACCCGCATGGAATGGCTTGGCAACATTGGGAGAGCTGAACTCAACGATCTGGGAAACAGTTAGCAGCTGTCAGTTACGCCCAAGGAGTGAGGGCTTGAGTTTACAATGCGCTTCTTGCCCTGACTCGGGTCTTTGGGGTCCTTCAGACCATTAAATCGGTTACGGCCTAATGGCAGAACAATAAGCTTCCGTACGGTGACATAATTTCAAGATGGCCAGCCATACCATATTCTTCACCAAGATTTCGAATCATCGGAATCAAGGAATTGGATAGGGGGGCTCCCTTGAGAAAAAAGGACATGAAAGGACCGCTAGTTGTAGGCTTGTCGAATAGAGGGTCCTCTGCAGGGAACTATCAATAGTTGATGTCAGCGCTGAAACATACAATGGCCAAGACTACCGCTTTGTACCTCCTCCGCCCATTTAGTAGCGAGAGCATCCGGCTTCTGGCCCTTGATCCTCAAAGCTGGAACAGCGAGAACAAAATCACCCTTGTCGAGACCAGTCGTCCAGTTGATGGCGGGGAATATAATTGAAGAATCCACACCAGATATGCCGGCTAAGACATTGCTAACGTGTGCCCTGTAGAAATCCAAAGGGTTGATTTCAGGATGAGCTTGGGGGTATTTCTCCGCGATGGAGTCAAGGCTCAAGCCGTTGACCAGCCCTGTGAGTTGGTCGATGCCCGTTGGTTTAGCCATGGCCGACATGCCTCTTAGACAGCCGGAAGTGAAAGCAGTGAAGGCCGAGTTCCACAGAAAGGTTCTGCAATTTTGAGTATTTGGGATATGATGTTTTTGCTGATGCAAGGATGCAAAAAGTCGAGTCGAAGTCGATGGTCGATGTTGAACAAACGACCTCACGATCCCCGCAGAAGAGAGGCTTAATATATGATGACTCCTTCGACTGGAAGAAATCTGGCAAATCTTCATGAGAGGTGTGAATTTTTGGGGCTCGGTACCTCTGACTCAATTTTGGTCTTAGGAAGTTAACCACAGGTGCTTTTCCCCACCACAGCAGAGGAATGTAGGCTTGTGAGTCGTTGGTGGGGGAGCCGTAACCTGATTTTGTCACACGGTGTTTCGTTCCGCCGGTCCTCCGCACTCCAAACTTGATGTTCTATAAAAGATTTGCTTTCTTTATGATGATAACGAAAACATGTAAAGATTTTATTGTTGAAATTTTAAGAAGCGATGCTCTAAGCTCTGTTCAAACTCTTTCTAACAATAATTGAGTATTTCTTCACACAGCCAAAGCCAATAATTATTGATACATGCTTGGTTGATCCATCAAAAATCGATGGAGGGGTAATTGTCCGTATCTTATCTAAGATGCACAAATTGGTGCTGGGGTTAATGGGTAAAGAGGCACCACGATCATTTGAATCGAGCTGCACGTAGTTGCTTCGATATTTATGTTTACGAATGTTTCTCTAGACGGCTGCTAATAGCATATCTCTTCTCTACTAACAAGAGCCCAACAATAAATAGAACTTTGTAGCTTTTACTTTAAGCTTTATAGCGAGAGCTTGTGGTGTTAGTGCTTGCGGCCGCAAAATTTCAGGGCAGCCTAAGCCAGCCGTTGCGAGGCTACTTGCACTAGCACTAAAAGTTTTTGCCCCTCCTTACTTGCCGTAAAATTATCCATGACAGCCTAGCAAGGACAGACGTTTATATCTTAGACTTGTCCAGAATCAATCACACGATTCAGCCCGACAGCGATCGCAGCAGGCGCATCAGTTATTCATACTTTTTTTCAATAATCGAATTCAAGACTCTCGTATTAATCACCTGTCATCATGCCTCCGAAGAAGTGGGGTGAGTCACGAGCGCGCAGTGTTCACGCCTTGCGGGCAACACTGCCAAATCCGCCTCTTTTCGATGCGCCATAGCAAAGCCGTATCGCCAGCTTGAGAACACTTTGCTAATATTTCATTCGGTATCAGATGATGAAGAGAGCGAAGGCGGTGACTCCGCCCCTGATTCTCCTCCTGCGGCCGCCGTTGCTCGTCGACGACAGTTTGACGATGAAGAAGATGATGGTGATGTAAGTATCAGCAGCTACATCACGAATAACACGCGCAACTCTTTCTAATCAGCTTCTAATCTGCCCTCGAATAAATATAGGTGCTTGACTCTTGGGACGCCGCTGAGGACTCAGAAGTAGAGCGCGAGAAGGCCAAGAAGGTTGCCGAGGCGAAGGAAAAGGCTGCCGCTGAGGCCGCCGCCAACAAGAAGTCAAAGGCCCAACGTATCGCCGAACACCAGGCCGAGCGCGCTCGTATTCAGGCCGAAGAGGACGAGGAGAGCGAGGAAGAGGACGAGGCAGCTCGCCGCGAGCGTCTTCGCCGCACTGAAAAGGACGCTGATCTCAAGCACGCCGAGGACCTTTTTGGAAGCATCGGTATCAGCGCTGGGCGAAAGGCCAACCCTTCCAGCACCATGATCGCTGATCCCGAAAACCCTACGAATCTCATCAACCTTGCGGCTGTCCCGATTTTCAACCCACAGACGAAACTGCAATTTGAGAAGATGCGCGGCGTTCTTTCTTCCCTTGTTGCTGCCAACACCAAGAAGGCTCACTACGGCCTCTTCCTTGAGGAGTTTTCCAAGGATCTTGTCAAAGAGCTCAACAGCGATCAGATCAAGAAGATTGCGAGTGCTCTTACGCGCGCCAGTAACGAGAAGTTGAAGGAGGAGAAGGCCGGAGACAAGAAGAAGACCAAGGCCGCCAAAACAAAGACCTCCCTTGTCGCTAGCAGGGCTGGTACTACCGACACCGCAACTTATGAGGATGATGCCTTTGGAGAGTGAGTAGATATAGATTCTTTCCTGACACGACCCCGCTGACTTTTCCTCTTCTTTTAGCGACGACTTCATGTGAAGAAGTTTACGAAACCATACACAATAAAAAAAACCACCAAAAAAAAATAAAACTAGAACAAGCGTTATCTTGGCGTTCCCAGCGTATTACTATCCCCGCCTAAAAGTAGAGATATGGAGACTCTTTGATTCCCTGGACTATATTCTCAATCACCAATGGTCTTGGTAGTGAAGCAGCATCTTGGCGTTAGCGCAAGCTGAAGATTATTCGATATGTATTTTGAAATTGGGCGAATCCACGGGCAAATAGATAAAAGGGATGACGAGTGTTTAGAATGGTTTGCACACCTGACACTTCATGCCCTTTCTTTTCAAAGCGCTTGGTCCAAGGACGGGGTGGACAATTCCACGGTTTTCGGGAATACCAAAAAGTTAAGACTAGGATAATAGATCGAATCTTTCCCTTATGCTTTATCTTTCTTTTTTCAGTAGTATTTTGTTTATTAGAGTGGTTTTGTTTCGTATACCGCACTGCTTCAACATACAAGAGGCTAGGGTATCTTGGAGATAGCTTCCCATGAAGCAAGAAGTAATTCATAAAAAAAGAAAACCACGCAATCCCTTAATCGCCAAGAAATGCCCAAATTGATCCCACGCAGCAACGCCATCATTAAACCTCACGTCAAATGCCGCCACCGATCCCGCCATAGTTTTAAGTATACAGCAATTCTACAAGAATCCATCACCCCTTTTTCCAATATAACAAGTTCTCTTTCATAGTGTTTTGTTCTTCTTCTCCTCATACAACGTTCCCAGCCATTCCCATGAACAGAGCATGGATAGCCAATGAAAGCGTCCAGAATCCGACTTTTCGGAATCGTCTTACTCGGCTTTGCTGGTCTTCCACATCCTTTGCAAAGGCCTCGTATGTTTCGGCAGACGCATCGTTCAAGAGGCCGCAGTCAAAAAATGTCCAACTTCCGTCGAAGTCAGCTAGCGGCTTGATGATGCGACTGGAAATCGGGATATATGTCTTTTTCGCGTTTATATAGGCCACAATAGGCCGAACCAGAGCCTGGTTCACATAAGAAAGATCGGGGGTGAATAATGGTACGGCAGCCTTAACATCGTTGAGATGAATGCGCAAGTCCATGATAAGAAGCCGCCTCTCTTCCTCTGACTCACTTGGCTCCTTGCCGGACCTCTTCTCACTTGCTGCACGACCGCCTTCCGAGATATTTTCGGGCGCAGGGGCTTTCGGAAGAAAACGGTAACGATTCGCAATAACTGTGCCTTCTAACTGATCATAAAAATCTGCCACGACTTTGGTTATGCTGTCATCCATGTCCGCTGGAAACATGACGTCTGCGACGATGTCAACGTTCCCTTCGTATATCCAGCCGAATGGGCCTTCCACTCCACGGTTTAAGTGGTCAATCTTCAGGCCGTCGATTCGTAATCTGTTGAATTTTTTCCATGACTTAGACTCCTCTAGTCCCATCATAACTCCCTGGTACCGACTTGAAACGGTGCCATGAACCTGTCTGGGGTGAATCGTAAATAGGGACCCGTCAAATGACCCAGACATGTGGCTAGCGGAGAGAAAATCATAGAAGAGCCATTGTTTTCGTAGCCGTGGAAGTTCACACGAGTATATACTGACCGAAAAAGGGCGAAATCCATCAGGTTGACGAACGGTAAGCAGAAGATCTTCCAATTTGAAAGACTCGATTTCGAAATCGCCTGGTTGGTGTTTGTGGCGATAAGAAAACGGATCAACCTGTACTACTGGCCAGCGAACAGAGGTTCGGTCGATGACTCCTCTGACACCGTTCACCTCTACATCCTTGAGAAGGCCCTTGCCATTCCACCAGTTGAGGAATGAAAGCGTGACATTGACATTTGCAATTGTTACGTCAAATTGCGTATAGTTGCCATCATCCACAGCATTGCCATCATCATGTTGGATCTGACGCCCTGCAGCGGCGGCGGCGGCAACAGCGGCAGCATCAGATGAACCTTTGCTGACAGATGATTCGATTTGGCCGGGTCTTCTTGAAACAACTACATTGCGAAATGCGATGACACCATTCCTCCATCTCGGAACTATAGCAGATTCAAAGACAACCGTGACACCGGCTGACTGGGTTAAATAGTCTCCAATCCATTGCGCAAGTGTTTCTGACAATATGTTAGCTACGCTGAGAATATGTTGTTATGGGATCAAACAATTGTCACTGTACCTTGTGCAAAAACAGTGTTGATCGAGAAAATAAGGATAGAGAAGAATGTTGTTGTGCCCACCAAGATCCAGACAATATGGCCCAGCATGAACCAAGAGACAAAAGCCCCCCATTCATCAATATTCCAAGGTCGCATGCTTCTGATGGAGACCCATTTGAATCTGACTTTGAACCTCTCCCAAAATCCATTCGCAGCCGCCAAAAGCTCTTCTTTCGTAGGACGATGAGGTAGCGCTGAATTCAAATATTTAGACACTGATGTGGCTATTGACTCCTGCTCTTGGTCTTTTGGGTCGATCTTGCTTGGGTTGATATTATTTTTGGCTGCAGGCCCCGAGCTTTCATGGGGGCTGGCGGTCGATTTCGCTCCATACAGCTCGCTTTGAGAATCTTCTTTAGATTCTATCCTGCCATTGACGCCGTTATTGCTGTGTTGATCACTTTGAAGAAATCTCCGCGCGGTAGCTTGAGAGACACTGAGAAACATTCGATGCCTCTCCAAGACACTCAAAGGAGAAAAGCGTCTATGGTTGTCATGAAGAGACGGTCGAATACCGAGCGCAATCGAGATTGGTGAAAAGCAGTCATCTTTCCAAGGGGCCAATTTTGATATTGGGCTAATCTGCGCATATTGAGAGCTTGCTCTTTGCGGTGATCGATTCGACAATGGAGCGGCATGTGGAGATCGCCGTGTTGGAGGGGTTTGAAAGCGGCATGTGAGATGGCGGCGAACATTCAGCCATGATGAGATGCCCTTAGACATTCTTAAGGTTCATGGCGACCAGTTATCTGGAGGCGGTGCGCCAATATACAGTTCCAGCAGCGCCTTTGAATCTCAGACAAGGTCAGGAATCAACATCGCTGCAAATGATGGGCAAGCCAGGGCGGCGGCGCAGAAGTAATTGCATGACGCGCCACTCACGTTTTGCATTGTGGGCGGCGTCCAGCCAATGGATAAGCTCCGATAGCCATCCACAAATTTTTGAGCGCCCAAGGTAGAAACGGCATGTGGCTTGCCCAGCAAAACCCAGCGCGATAACATTTTTTTTCTCCGAGTACTTGCGACAGAAGGAAAGGCGCATAATCGCAATCCTCTATTGCGATACATCTATATATTGATTGATTCCGATTCTTCAATCCTCAAGAATTTGAATACACAACAGAGCGTCCTTTGTCCTCCAGCACCATGCCTGCTCCTACGGCCCTCAAGAAGGCAGAAAGCACCCCGCTTGCTGCAGATGTTCCATCGGCTGCTCAAGGTAGATATTTTCTCTTATGTTTGCCTTTGCCAGGGGCCTCAAGGCTGACTTGCGCATAGATAACGACCATGAGTTCCTCCTCGATGCGGCAGACGTTGCGTCGGCCGATGCTGAAGTGATTGTACCAGAGGCTCAAGATGAGAGCGACAGTATGGCTATTGACGAGGAGGGACGGCCTCGCTTTGCTCCGTCAAAAGATATTGTACGCTAAAAGCTGCCTACTGGGCTATTGGGAGCTGCTTTGCTGACGTTTACGTAGGACCCCATGGCCCGAACCGAAACACGAAAAGTCCCGATCCCACCTCATCGCATGACACCACTAAAACAATCATGGCCTTCTATCTACCCTCCCATTGTGGAGCATCTAAAACTACAGTGCCGCATGAACATCAAGCGGAAAACCGTCGAGCTAAGAACATCCAAGTTCACCACTGATTCTGGTGCCCTACAGAAGGGTGAGGACTTTGTCAAAGCCTTCACTCTCGGCTTCGACGTCGACGATGCCATTGCTCTCCTGCGACTGGACGACCTATACATTGAAACCTTTGAAATCAAAGACGTCAAAACCGTGCACGGAGACAGCCAGAGCCGTGCCATCGGTAGAATTGCTGGTCACCAGGGCAAGACGAAATTCGCCATTGAGAATGCCAGCCGTACGAGAATTGTGCTCGCCGATTCCAAGATTCATATTCTGGGAGGATTCAAGAACATTCACATGGCTCGTGAATCTGTCGTTAGTTTGATTCTCGGAAAGCCCCCAGGCAAGGTCTATGGCAACCTGAGAACCGTGGCTGCCAGAATGAAGGAGCGTTTCTAGATTGGTTGAGCAGGCATGTGCGGTAGTCTTGGCGTTCAGGTGGGAAAATAATCATGATTCATGTCTTTTTGGCGGATTGATAGTCTGTATGTGTCGGATTTGTTCTTCTGCATAATGTTTGAAACAGAGCATTGCTCCCTAGCATGATGAATTTGCTAAAGGATGCGGCTGAGGAGAATATGGACTCGTAATTTACGCGCCCCTATACTTTGTACGTAGCAAATGAAATTGATGAAAAGGCTTTATAAACATCTATTAGTAAAAAGGTACCATTTCTCCGACAAATTCGTAATATCATACTAGACTGCCAACTCCTTGACGCCAAACGGGCCGATAAAAATCTCGCAACTTTTGAGCCCAGGTAGGTAGGTAGATTGCTCACTATGCAAGCGGATATATATCAAAGCGATTTCGGTGTGTTTAGTTCTGACGAGGCTTTATCATTCCTTCTTGCACAATATAGTATACAACGGTTGAGTCATTATGCAAGGCGGCCAGGACAATCCGCTTGGCACCCTTGCGAGCATCCGGGAGGGCGTCCATGACAGCCGCAAAGTTAGAAAGCGTCCATTTCTCGGCAAGATGGACTGCTAGCACCCATTCAAACTCCGCGTCATGTTGAGCCCTTGTCCCAGCTGACTTTTCGTATGCAAGAGCTGCTATCTGATCGTCTGGGTGGAGATATAAGAGGCGTGGTGGGAGGCCTCGAATCATTGGCCGCGACAGTCCTGGGATGCTAAGGATTTCCAACGATGCCCATTGGTGCTGGTCTTGCAGGTTCTGAAATACCGCAGAGGCGACATCGGCAGAATACCGGTGTGGCCCATCCATGTCAGAAATGATAGTGATAGGTAGCTGGCAAGGGAGAGCGTAAAAGAAATTAGAGGAGAGGAATGGCCATATGAAATCCCATTACATGGTGCCCGAAACAGGCATAGAAACTTTTTTTTCTTACGGCGTCGAAGCCGGAGAAATACTAGCGCTGTCTACCGATAAACGTAAGGAGTGGTCTAATCATTACCTCACAAGCACACCAGCTGCCTGCCGCAGGAGCTCTTAGGTAACTCCCTTGTTATCTTAGCAGCAGGATACGCCCCACTGCTTCACCCCTCCATTTTCTTCTTCTACGCGAGCAGCAGCAAAACACCACTTCCTTCTTTTCCTTCCACAAGACCTCTCGACTCGTCCAGCTTTACACGAAGAGCTTGAGAAACCGAATTGACCTCTATATCACAGGTATGGCACTTTTTTCATCACAATGAGCAGCATTCTCAGCTTGCCCACCTCAGCTTGCCCACCTCAGCTGTGCCCCTCTTTCTGTTTTCACCATCCAGGTTACCCCTCCATTTCAGCGGGAAGCTGCTGAATGGACGGTGTCAAATGGGCATTGAGGCATATTTCGAGAGTTGCTGGCGACTTACATAGATGGCCAGCTCCGTCTAGTCAAAGTATTGCTCGCCAGGAAGAAAATGCGCTGCTATAGCTCTGCGCTACCCATTTTCAAGCTTCGCAGTCTACATTTAGCTACTGCTACAATAATCTTTGCTAACAAACACCGGTTTCTATCTACAACAGCTTTCAAAATGGCCATTACCAAGGTTCACGCCCGTTCCGTCTACGACTCCCGTGGTAACCCCACCGTGGAGGTCGACCTGGTCACTGACACTGGCCTGCACCGCGCCATCGTCCCCTCTGGTGCCTCTACCGGTTCGTGCCCTCGACTTCCCTCAATTCCGTACCGCTGCAGGAAATAACTGGTCTCCCAGGTCAGCACGAGGCTGTTGAGCTTCGCGATGGCGACAAGGCCAAGTGGGGTGGCAAGGGTGTCACCAAGGCTGTTGAGAACGTCAACACCATCATTGGCCCCGCTCTGATCAAGGAGAACCTTGATGTCAAGGACCAGTCCAAGGTCGACGAGTTCCTGAACAGCCTTGACGGTACTCCCAACAAGGGCAAGCTTGGTGCCAACGCCATCCTTGGTGTCTCCTTGGCTGTTGCCAAGGCTGGTGCCGCTGAGAAGGTAAGCAACGTTATGAGAAATTACTATTGACGAGCACGAGCTTACACGAAGCAGAACGTTCCCCTGTACGCTCACATTTCCGACCTCGCTGGAACCAAGAAGCCCTACGTTCTCCCTGTTCCTTTCATGAACGTCCTCAACGGCGGGTAAGTATATCACACGTCACTGGAGAACAAGCCCAGCAGCAATCGCTAACTAATTGATCAGTTCCCACGCTGGTGGTCGTCTTGCCTTCCAGGAGTTCATGATTGTCCCCTCGTAAGTTAACCAATAGCCTCACTGTCGTGTCTATGCCTGCTAACCTCTAGTAGTGCTGCTCCCAGCTTCTCTGAGGCCCTTCGCCAGGGCTCTGAGGTTTACCAGAAGCTCAAGACTCTGGCCAAGAAGAAGTACGGCCAGTCCGCTGGCAACGTTGGTGATGAGGGTGGTGTTGCCCCCGATATCCAGACCGCTGATGAGGCTCTTGAGCTCATCACCGATGCCATTGAGCAGGCCGGCTACACTGGCAAGATGAACATTGCCATGGATGTTGCCTCCAGCGAGTTCTACAAAGAGGAGGAGAAGAAGTACGATCTTGACTTCAAGAACCCCGAGAGCGACCCCACCAAGTGGATCACCTACGAGGAGCTTGCCGCCATGTACTCCGACCTCTGCAAGAAGTACCCCATTGTCAGCATCGAGGACCCCTTTGCTGAGGATGACTGGGAGGCCTGGAGCTACTTCTACAAGACCCAGGACATCCAGATTGTTGGTGATGACTTGACCGTCACCAACCCCGTCCGCATCAAGAAGGCCATTGAGCTCAAGGCCTGCAATGCCCTCCTCCTCAAGGTCAACCAGATCGGCACATTGACCGAGTCTATCCAGGCTGCCAAGGACTCCTACGCCGACGGCTGGGGTGTCATGGTCTCTCACCGATCTGGTGAGACCGAAGATGTCACCATTGCTGACATTGCCGTCGGTATCCGTGCCGGTGAGATCAAGACTGGTGCTCCTGCCCGTTCCGAGCGCCTAGCCAAGCTTAACCAGATTCTCCGCATTGAGGAGGAGCTTGGTGAGCTTGCCATCTACGCGGGTGACAAGTTCCGCACCTCTGTTAACCTGTAAATGGTTACATGGAGCTAAGGATACATACATATAAAAAGGCTGGTGGCCCAGAGAATGGGTTAATATGGTCGAGTAAAAACATAAAATAATGATTTGAAGAAACGCCCATACGGCGAAAGAAAAGTGAATTGAGCTATGACCAAAATTTATACAACAGCATGTCCCTGAATCTGTGAAAAGACTTGTTTCTGCAGTTAGACGTTTCGGATACCCTGTGTGTTCCCAATGTTATCAATTTATCAATATGTTACTGAAGTCAAACACCTGGGCTTCTCAGAGCCACGTTCATTTACACTGTATTCTTACATTTGGGGGGCGGGGGGGCATTGTTTTCAGTTACGATACTACTGTTTACCTGTTATATATTTTCTTCTTACCTTTCGTGGTTTTGCTAGTTCTCGCTTCTATTGATGATAACGCCTATGATGCTAGGGGGAGTAGATAGGCTGAGTTAGTGCCAAAGTTTAGATACCAAGTTGGAGACGAAAGAGCTTTCTCGGAGCAGAATTTGTGCCAACCTAAAAGTACCTAAGTACCTAGGTACCAGGTAGTAGCCACGTACAGGCACTATTTATTTTGATAAACAAATCACCAGAGCAACGCGGGGTCAAACACATCCCACCATACCTCGAAAGCGTTCAACCGCTAAGGCCTGTCAACATTCGGAAAAACCCCACCACATCATACCCAGTATCTAACATTCTTGCCCAAAACGATCCTTCACGCGCATCGGGCATTGCATCCGTATGTTGATTTGTACCATAGGCAACTATATAGGTAGAAGCGCGTCTTAACCACTATTCAGGGCCTCCAGAATCAACATCGTTTCGATAAACCAAAGAGTTGCCGCCATTTGATGGTATCGCAACAATGGCGGGCGCAGAAGATTTAACCGACTTTGACGTGATCGAGAACCAAAAGGAAAATATTCAGTCTTTACCTGGCGGCCGTTCAGCAAAAAAGTTGGCCAGTCTTTTCTCTCCATCTCCTCTACACAAATTGTCCACCCCGACGCCGGCCGATACGAAAAATGTCAACGATTGCATCCGCGCAGAGTTTGAAGCAGAAATCGAGAACCTATCTGAGTCCGATGATCCCTTGGACGTCTTTGACAGATATGTCCGCTGGGCTTTAGACGCGTACCCATCAGCACAGGCGACGGCAGAGTCACAGCTGCATACAATCCTCGAGCGCGCGACGAAAACGTTTGTTGCATCGTCGCAGTACAAGAACGATCCCAGATACATAAAGCTGTGGATGTATTATATCCAACTGTTTTCCGACACACCCCGCGAGACCTATCTATTCCTCTCCCGACATGGAATCGGCGAGAGCCTTGCACTATTCTACGAAGAATACGCTGCGTGGCTGGAGGGCGCAGGCCGATGGGCGCAAGCAGAGGAGGTATATCAGCTAGGGATCCAGAGAGAGGCTCGGCCAACCCAGAGACTGCTGCGTAAATTTAAGGAATTTGAGGCAAGACTTGCTCAGCAGCCAGATGCATTGGCGGAGCCATCTTCACCGGCTCTGCCAACTGTTCGTCCCGCGCTGGCCAGTAAGATGGATCCCTTCGGTAGCTCATCGCAGCCAGTGGATCCCCAAGCTCTAAGACAAACCAGCGGTGCTAGCAGCTCATCTCGACCTGCAAAATCTAAGCTAGCTATCTTCTCTGACGCAGACGCTCAACAGCCTGCCATGTCGTCAAGAGATGCTGCGTCTAAAGGATGGGATAGTATAGGATCTCTATCAGATCGGAAAAAGGAAAATACGATGGAGCCAAAGCCATGGGTAGGAGAGACCCTTAAGGCGGGCGGTAAGAAGCCGGGGTCTGGGGGAACAAAACTGGCAGTGTTCAGAGATCCGGTATGTAATTCCCCCCTTATCAAGAGATGTTCAGCTGTTGATAAGAATAGGACTAATGTATTGCTGTCTGTGGTGCCATGTAATTCAGTCGCTTGCTCAAATACAAAATATTGTTGTTGTTCCATCCAAACATCAAGTAACGGTCCATCCTCAAACGGGGAAAAGAGAGTACATCTTCGTTGATCTGGCAGCTGTGTATCCTACCCCTGAGGAGCCTGGGACCGAAATGAGCTTTGAAGAGATTATCGCCGCACATCGTGGCTGGCTCGATCGCGAGTGGGATGTTGACCATGCGAATGAAAACGATACCCCAGATCGCATGGAACCTCTACATGAGATTGAGAATTTGACTCAAGACACGACTGAGAAGCTAGTCATTGACGGAGACCCTATGGTGCTTGATGAGAATGGTGTAGCAGGAGGGAAGCCTCGAGAACCTCGCACAGGTAGAAAGAAGAAGATGATGGAGGTAAATGAGACACAGATCAGTAAGTTTCCAATTCTTTATCAAACTAAATACAATTCATTTATAGGCTTCTGACACCCAATTAGTCAAAACGAAGCTCGACTCTCCCTCAGGACCCAAAATCAAGAAGAAAAACGCTGCTGAGCCCACCATGACACTTCATACGAGAGCAGCTACGGATGATATTTACGACATCTTTAATGCACCGCTCAAGCCAACATCCTTGGCAGGGGACGAGACTGGCGATGACGACGATGACGAAGAAGAAGATGAAGACGATGATGACGATGAAGACGCTGACGCCGACGAGGACGAAGATATGACCGATACCTTTTATGGAAGTGATGCTGAGAGCACTGGCACCACGAGACAAAC